TGTACCCTGCATCTGTGAAAGATGACATGTATTAATTAGATCACATTTTGCAAATGATTTTTGTTCCTTAGAATTGCAAGAAAACATCACCTGACCTAAACTAATTACAGCCTATTGATAAATGAATTACAAAAGTGGCGATGAGGAAAAATGTTTATGCCCTCTAATCCAGTGCTGTTGCCGCTGACCTTGCTGCATTAAAACTGGCCAATGTAAAATTTAACCTGTTAACCATGTTATCAGTGTCTTACCTAGTATCATCCTGGCGGTAGGCTACTCGATTTTTTTCCTTCCCTTTTGCATGAAAAACTTTGCAGTTGGCAGAAAATTCCGCCCCTCTATGTAAAGAAAAAAGTGCAGCCCATGTTGGATCGCCATTCTTCCTATGCCACTGTAATTCATTTGTCTTAGGATGTCAAAATAATTTTATTAGCCTCAGAAAATAGTGTTACATAACTGCTCTTACATAGGTCTTTATTCACTGAGGCCTGGCAAATTCTTGGACTAAAAAATTGTGTTTGGCTCAAATAATAGGGACTATCATTAGAGAAATTTTTTTTTTCTTATTTTAAGCAATTTCTAAAATTAAAAACTCAGTTTAGATTACCATGTGGTTTTTCTGCTCATATTGGTCTTCAATGTTTCCATGAACATTTATTAGAGATATGTACATAGAAGTGGTACCTTTAATATTGAGTGTTTAGAAGTCTTCTTGTGATGCCTTGTGTGATACAAGTAATGTGAAAGGTCTGATCTGCCGGTTTTATCAAATGTTGATGTGAAGAGTTCCCATGAATTATTTCGTTAAATAAGAAAAAGTTACAATAAAAAAAATAATAATAGAATTATTCATATGTTTTCCCAAATGTTTTCATGTCTGGGAGCATTACTTGTTTCAAAACCTTTATCCTGTTTGTAAATTTTATTCCCCTATTTGACAAGATTGATCTTTGTTCCAATTTAGTATTTAATGTATTATAGTTATAGAATCCATGTTATAAAGAATGTTTCTCATTTGAATTGTCAATTCACATTCCATTTGAAAATTCCATTTGATTTTGGTGAATTTTTTTGTGTGTATGTTTATTTTTTCATAATTTATAAACCGTCCACAATTTGTTTTGTATTTTGCTTGTTTTTCTCCCCCACTTCAAATTGCCAATTAAGTTCCATAGTGGTATTTAAATTAAAACCGTCCACTGTAATGATTTAGTATTACTATTGATTGAGATCATTAGAATTAGAATGTTCTTGGTACAAATTACAGGATGTATTGATTAATTTTTTTGTTGCTCCTTTTAAAAATTTACTTTTGGATTTCTGAACTATTTAACAGTAACAGCCACTTTCTTTCCTGATTTGATAGAGTTAGAAAAAAAAACAAAAGAAAAACACACCCGCAGTAGTAAAATGGACAAAGTGATATTAATTTATTTTCAGTCTGTCAAATGTTTCTCTGAACTTATCCAGCAGGAACTTAAAAAGAGGAATTAGTGAATTTTATTAGTTTAATGGATTGTACTATGCACTTAATCCTATATTTAGTTATTTTTCAAGCCAGGACTTTTTTAGACCATTTAAAAAAGAAAAACTCCATGATATTACAAACAAGCTTGTCTCCTGTTATATTTATATGTTGTATACAACCAAGTAGAAGGCTAAATAAAAATTACCTCATGCACCTTTTCACTACCCTCCATTATTCAACTTATAGAAATGTGCCCCCCTTCCCCCCATTTACATGTTTAGCATTATAAATATTTATATAACCTGTTTTCATTATGTTAATGAGTTTAATAGATAAATGACTTGTGTGTGATTAGAGACAAACTGCTTGTAGTAGCAATTTGAGCTTCACAGCTCACATGTATTTGAAATGTAAGGAATATTTTTATTAACTTTTATAAATTATGTGTATTTGTACTTAATTATCAAAATTCTTGTTCCTCTTTTATTTATTTTAATTTTTATAATTTTTTAATCAGAGTGATTGCTTAAAAATGTTGATTCAAAAAAATGTTAACCCGGCTGAAATTGGTTGATTGATTTGGAATGTTTCTAGTGTCCTTGACAACCCATTCACATTAATTATTGCTCAAAGAATATTGTCTTATGAGTTTAATTATCTGCGGTTGTATCTTTATTTTATTCTATTAAAAATAAGGCACACTTGGGAGATGAAGAATGAGAAGAAGAAAAATTAAAAATGCCATTTAAAAGGGACAATTATTTTTGTTTATGTTTAAAATAATAATTTGTAAAATTGTCTACAAAGTACGAACTTAAATGACAAATATTTGAAACCTGCAGTATTATATCGACTGTTAAGATTAGTTTAGAAATTTTTGGTTTCTTGTTACTGGTACTCTAATCTGCCATTGTTCTACTTAATAGTAGCAAATATATTATGGGGAACATTGCTTTTCATAGTACAAACATTAGATTTACTACAGTTGAATATTTATATTAACTTTAAAAAACTTTATTTAAACTCTTATAATAAAAAACTATTCACGTTTTTTTTTTCTTGAAATTATTGAAGATAAAAAGAAACAAATCAAGATTTGAAACTGAAGCTCATCCACAACTAGGTTTTAATTTAAATATTTTTTTTATCAAACTGTTTGATAAGAATCTTGGACTCGACCATGAAAAGAATCTTGGACTCGACCATTGTTGTTTTGAAGTATACTTACTTAAAATTAGTTTAAAATAAATTAATTTTAGGTTTGAACAGTGAGGCAGACTGCTCACTGCTATGGGCACACCAAAATGGATATGGTGCAAAGCATAGAGTGCCTGCAATATTCAGTGGGCCGTTCCCATAAGAAGTCCAGATAAGTCGAGCATCTTATTACCCTCGCCAATGACCACTGTTTACTGCTCCCCCACCCTCCCTTGTGGATGGTCCTCACAATACACCTTAGGTATACAGGTACTTTTATCTTAATTTTGGAGAGACACAAGCTGTTATTATGACATATTGCAGTAATTGACACAAAATAGAGGCTATGCTTAAATGATCTGTGAATGAAATATAGCATTTGCCGCTGGATGCATTTTATTAATGTTAACACTCTCCTCTCTCTCCTCAATTTTATATAGATTACCCACACCAGTAAGATCTTTTATAGATGTCCCCTAATATTACATTTCCATGGTAAATTCAAGCCAAATTGTTCAAGGAGAAATTTTAAAATTGCTTTTGAGATTATTCTTAAAATTATTATAATTTTTTCAACAGTGAAATAACGTTTTAAGTAATTTCAAAACTTCTTTTCTTTTTTCCATTGGATATAGTTTTTGAAATACTGTTTTACAGAATGTTACATTGCATCTTGCCATAATTTATTAGGAAAGAATTGGTTGGACCTAATATTTCATTTGATTAAATGGCAGCTAAAAGCATTTGAATCGGCAAAGTTGGTTTTAGGTGATTGAGATTGACTTAAAAATTCTTAAAATTTATTTTACTAGAAAAAATGTCTTAAAGTTCCTTAAACTTTGATTTTCATCTTTCATCTATATATTATGCTATAATACAGTTGAGCTTAAATTACATGTCATATCCTAGAATTGACATTTCATGAATATTTAATTTGTTAAAAATAGCAAAACTGTGTATATAAAAAGAGTTTTATAACAGCAATAACATGGCAATATCTTTATGGGAGTTCGATTTTTCAAATGTGCATTTGATGTGTGCCTATGTTATTAGAAATTCATGGTATGACTGTAGGAAGAAAAAAATTATACACACATTTGGTCACTATTATGTAATAGATACCTACAAAAAAAATCATTCAATATTGTTTCATTTCTTTTTCTGGTGAGAAGTAATAAATTTTTTTATTCAAATGTAAGAATCTTGAGTTTGAAAAAAAAAAATGTTTTCTATGTTTATTTAGATTAGTAAAGTTATTTAGAAATACCCATTTCCCTGTGTGAGGAATACAAAATGTGCAGATGGATGGCTAAATTTTATGTGTAAATGCACTCTCTGTAACATAAGAGGTTTTTGTAATCAAGCATTAAAAGAAATAGTGCCTGCTGAAGTGAACAAAGGCAAGTAAAGGGAAGCTTATAATAAAAAAGGGTTCTCACACTTGCAACCCATCAACAGCCCTCATCCAGCCCTTAAAGTATCATGCAAAGTGAATTAAGTTAAATAACTGTAATAAAAAAAAAAATCATGACGATTAATGTTAAAATATTGTAGTCCTTGAGCTATCATGTTATCTCCACATGGATATTGTAAAATTTCTCAAAAGCCTATATTTACTTCGTGCTCAAAAATTTAAATTTTTCAACTTTAGATTTCTATATTTCAATGCCACCAGTCCTAGATTTGATGTCCACTTATTTGGGTGTTTTTTTTATTCTGTGAAAAGGAAAATGTAAAAAACGGCACAAAAAGTGAAAGTAAAAAAAAAGGTTAATGTTGCAAAAAATGTGACTTAAAATGTTTAACTTTAACCATACATTTTTTCAGCAGTGAGTGACGACCATTAAGGAACACCGTTTTTTGTCTCACAGGAGCAAAATGGAACATCTTTAATTTTATTAAATCATTGCCATCATTCAGCCGTAGATGAAATTCTTCAAAGTAAAGCAAGTCAGAGAACTGTATGAACACAACACATACATTAAACTAAACAAATTAAGTATTTTTTATACATCTTTAATCATCATCACTTTTCCATAAATCAAATTATTTTTGAAACTGTGTTTAAAATCTATTTATTTTTAATTTTGGAATAGGTGGTGTTTTAAGTCATTTCAAAAAATTATTCTGAAGTATCCAAGTATTACAGGTACTTGAATTTAAAATATCTTGCAGGGCCTTGCTGTGCTGACAGCAACTATTTGAGACTTTCTTCAGTAAAGAAAATTGTGACTTGTCATCCAGCCAAAACCTACAACAATTTTCTTTGGTATGTCAATTTGTGCATAGGAAAAATAAACAATTCACCCACAAAAATGTGGGCATGGACCTCAACAGTAATGTTTAAAAAAAAAAAAAAAGCACAAACAAAAAGGTAAAAGCAAACACATGATACAAATAATAAAAAGTAATAAGTATGTTTGTATAAGGTGAAATCCATATAAAAAAACAGTGCAATCAATCATTGCATATAAAAGGCTTTGCAAAAATGTGCAAGTAATATCAATTCAAAAAAAAAATTTAAACAAGAACGCCATTGAATGTTGAAAAGTTGGACAACCAAATAAGACATTGGTCATTTGAAACATGTTCTTTAATTTCATCCCTTGGACGTGGAACATAAAATATATTTGGGACATTTTAAGGAGGAAATAAAATTGAGTCAAAATCCACACTGCTCTTATAAATTTTAGGACAGAACTATGAAATGTTAGCCATGTCAACTAGACAAGTATTATTGATATTACAGTTTTAATGAAGATATAAATTTGTCAACCTTTTCTTTGATAAGATGTGACTACAAGTAACATTCTTTTCTTTTTAAAAAAAAAACGATTTTCCTATAATAATAACATTTACCGTATTTTCCGGCGTATAAGACTAATTTTTAACCCATGAAGATCTTTTCAAAAGTCGGGGGGTCGTCTTATGAGCTGGTATACAGCCCAAACCATAGATTTTAATAGAAAGAGTAGGGGGTTGTCTTATATGCCCAGTCATCTTATGAAAATACTGTACCATCAATATATTTTTTTAAATAAATTAAATCATTTAACATTTTGTTATTTAGTGCTCCCATAATTATGACAAATTTTTGGAAGAGTAAATAATTTACTTAAACTCAAATAAGGCAGTTTTTGAAATACCGATAACTATTTGATTCTGATTATTAACAATTGCAAAAACGACTTTACAATTTGACTTGTATTTTATTTTGTAACATTTCCAAATTAATTGACTAGAGCGACCATAAAGAGTTGTTGAAACTATTCAATGGACTAGAGTGTAGTTAAAGAGCCATCACATAGATTGTTGAAACTTACGGAAAAACCAAAGCTCTGCTTAAATCTGAAAAATTTAAATGTAAAATATTAATATTAATCAAAATAACTAGACACATGAATAAATTCCTTTGGACAACTACTGATGCCTTACAGGCATCATTTTTGTTTCAAATCAAATTTGGGAGCCTCGCAACAATTTTTTTATATTGAAAAGAATTATCATCAGCACACTGCCTGAGTGTAGGCTTCTGTACATTTTGATGCCCCACAGCTAAAAGATGCCCCACAACTAACAGGTATATTAAATCATAATTCTTCACAACATAACTGACCCACTTTCATGGCCTGGGAACCAGCGGTGTAGTCCATTAAATCTAGAGATGTAAATCCTGAACAAATGTATTTTTAAAATGACTGAAGGCTTAGCTATGATATAAACAATGATTTTACCTATTACCATGCCAATTAGGTCCCTCTCCCTGCCAGAATGTTTGTGTAGTTGAACTCTTTAGACAGGGCAGCACCAAGACACCAGCTTACTTCTCTGCCTAAAATCTTTTTTTCTACCTGCAAAATTCATCTCAGTGTCAAAACAATTCAACCATTTAGAGAGACTAGACAGCAAATCATTTTAACTTTACCTATTCAAATGACCATTTTTTTTTACTCAAGCACTGAATCCATCTTTTTATTAACAGTCAATAATAGCTGTTTACATTGACAGTTACAATGGCATTAATCTAGATCCATTAAAATAATATTTAGTTCATTGTTTGCATGAAACCTGAGTAGCCATTTCGGGAACATTATTTAAAGGTGTTTTAATTTGTATCAGTCTCATTACAATAAAATTACAGATGTTCCCGATAGGGCCATTTAAACTTATGATGTAACATACACAACCCAACCACTCTCACAACCCAAACACTCTCACAAACCAACCACTCTCACAACCCAAACACTCTCACAACCCAAACACTCTCACAACCCAACCACTCTCAAATACCAGTTCATGACAAGACTCATTAACTTACATGAATCTCTTTGTCAGGAGACAGACCTATCCCTGCAGTCAAAAGTGTGTAAACATATAATAGATCTATGCAAAGAAATGGATGTTTACTAGACATTGCCCCAGCCTGACAGTCTGAAAATACACAGGGGGAAAATTGTCATTTTCTTAATGAAAAATGAAATATGTGACAAGCTAGAAACAAATAGCAATTTGCATAATTCAATCAGTCCAGTGGCATTATGACTTTTTTTTAAGTATGTGAAAATTTACAGAATTTTTTTTTTTTATCAGCTCAAAAAAATGACAATTTTATAGAATGTTCAACTGTTCCAAGCTGCCTCTATCATATAGTTTATGTACATATACATTCCACAAAAAAGCTTTTAATTTACTTAAATTTAACATAAGATCAATTTGGGATTTAACCATTTCTGACCAGTGGTAGCAACAGTTTATACTAAGCTCTGCTTGCACGCCTATGAATAAAATAGACTTCCTGTAGATCAAATGTTCTCATGAATTATTACACTGCCCCATGATGTAATACATAGACAAGAATGTATTGTATTTCTCCAAGCCATTTTTAGGCATTCACCAGCCAAAAAACTTATGAACTTAGAAGAAAAAGTAACTGCTTAGTTTATTTAAAGCTTTTTTAGCCTTGATTTAAAAAAAAAATGAACTAAAAATTTATGGAGTGTAAATTAATGCCAACAATCTCTTACATGTTCTAGCAGCAGTTAAATAATCTTTAACGTGGAGCACCTCCATGTGGTTGTTCCAAGAAATCAGCTTTGCCCACCTGGCCACGTCAAAAAAGTAAGAGAAGAGATGTAGCTCCCTCTCGCTGATCTCATGACTCTGAACGAACCCACCGGATATGACAAAATCCTTGACCACCTCACTGCACTTGGGGAGTAAATCATTATCCTCGTTAAGACCCCTGAAAGTAGATGACAAAATATAACACTCGATACTCTTTAAAAAAATTAAGTTCTAGTTGACACCCTTGAAAGTACATCTTTAAATGTAAAACTCATTATAAAATTGTTACTTTTTTTTTTAAAAAAAAAAGAAAAAATTTACTCCCAGGGTTGGGGTGTACTGTAGCCTGAGGTTAACTTTGAAGAGAATTTTTAAGAAGTTGAGTGCGTTCATTGAAATGGGCTTATTATAAATTTTATTCAAAATTTATCGAGAAAAAAATTATTTTTACAAAACTGTATCCTCACTAATAATGTGACGTTGTTTGTCATAAGTGGTGATATGTAATTATGAAAGGTGCTGTGAATTGTTTTTTGATAGATGTTTTCCTGAGATCGTGCAGGGTGGAAGAAACACATTTTGGACCATGGGGATCCAGCGATCCCTGATGTGAAAAGCTTTAATGAGATGATGCGTGTTCATAGGGACACATCTTTAGTCAGAAGATGGACACACCGTGGTTCAGCCCTGGTCTAGTGCCTGTTCTTAAATAAGGATATAGCCCTGAATGTCAATTTTCCCAGCCTGCTCTCAAAGGTTCTCATGTTGACAACTTGAAATCTCGCGAGAGTCAACACCGCCAAAGGTCGTGCCTCTGCTAGTTCTAAAATATTTGTTCCTGCTGGAGAAGACTTTTGTCACAAAATATCCACTGCTTTACTTTGTGTTAATTTAACCTTCAGGCTACTTGAACATGCCTTGCATCTTTTAATAAGTGGTTGTTATGATGATATCCATTACAAACTTGCTACATTTATGAGATACCAAATGAACTACATTTATGATGATGCCCATACAAAATGTACTACATGTATAATGACATCCATACCAAACTTACTACATTTATGATGATGCCCATACAAAATGTACTACATGTATAATGACATCCATACCAAACTTACTACATTTATGATGATGTCCATACCAAACTTACTACATTTATGATGATGTCCATACCAAACTTACTACATTTATGATGACGTCCATACCAAACTTACTACATTTATGATGATGTCCATACCAAACTTACTACATTTATGATGATGTCCATACCAAACTTACTACATTTATGATGATGTCCATACCAAACTTACTACATTTATGATGATGTCCATACCAAACTTACTACATTTATGATGATGTCCATACCAAACTTACTACATTTATGATGATGTCCATACCAAACTTACTACATTTATGATGATGTCCATACCAAACTTACTACATTTATGATGATGTCCATACCAAACTTACTACATTTATGATGATGTCCATACCAAACTTACTACATTTATGATGATGTCCATACCAAACTTACTACATTTATGATGATGTCCATACCAAACTTACTACATTTATGATGATGTCCATACCAAACTTACTACATTTATGATGATGTCCTTACCAAACTTAATGCATTTATGATGATGTCCATACCAAACTTACTACATTTATGATGATGTCCATACCAAACTTACTACATTTATGATGATGTCCATACCAAACTTACTACATTTATGATGATGTCCATACCAAACTTACTACATTTATGATGATGTCCATACCAAACTTACTACATGTATAATGACATCCATACCAAACTTACTACATTTATGATGATGTCCATACCAAACTTACTACATTTATAATGATGTCCATACCAAACTTACTACATTTATGATGATGTCCTTACCAAACTTAATACATTTATGATGATGTCCATACCAAACTTACTACATTTATGATGATGTCCATACCAAACTTACTACATTTATGATGATGTCCATACCAAACTTACTACATTTATGATGATGTCCATACCAAACTTACTACATGTATAATGACATCCATACCAAACTTACTACATTTATGATGATGTCCATACCAAACTTACTACATTTATGATGATGTCCATACCAAACTTACTACACGTATAATGACATCCATACCAAACTTACTACATTTATGATGATGTCCATACCAAACTTAATACATTTTCAATACTGATTTCCAACTTTTTCCACAGTGAGGTTTTTGTTGATCAAGTCGATGAATTATGAAGATATTTCCTAAAAGTCTTCAGCTACAACAATTTCGACTTTTGCTTATTTAAATGAAATTTAAAAACCAAGCTTCTAATGTCATCATCATCATCATCATCATCATCTTGATACAGTAGCCATTTGACCATGTTCTGGCCCGAGGCTGTGTCAGAAGAATGTTCACTCTCTTGCTCTCTGTAGTTGTTCTTTGTTGGTAAGCTTCTAATTTAAACCTTGACCTATAAAACTCACAGGTGGTAACATTTGGGCCTCAGGGCGTTATAATTTTGAAATAATTTCTAAATACCATTTCGTTGGCTAACAATAATGGGACCCTGTTTCTAAATAGTACAAATATTTTTTCTTGCACATTGAGCTTTAACACAGGCAAACATATTGCTCAATATTTTTTAAAATAAAAACTCAGATAATAATAACTCACCATACTTCATAGCCGACATCTGAATGATTGAAGTCCAATCTCTTGTCTTTATAAAAACAGGGACTAATTATTTGAACTTCATTATTTACCATTCTGTCAGTCACTCGATTGTCTGTGGATGTTGTCATACACATTGAAATGGCTTATTATGGATTTATAAGAACATTTGAACAAAAATTAACCTAAATTTATTTATGCTTATACTTTCTACAAGGAAATAAGGAATTTCAAGGGGTTACAGATTATAAATGGTGTTATTTCAAGTTTACCATAAGTGATGCTCCCGTTAGGTCCTTCCTTCCCTCCTAGAATGCCTAATCTGGCTGATTTTAACCCAAAGCCTAAGTAACTGTAAAAAGTAAGAAACAAAATTTCTTCAAAAATTAAAATTTCATTTTGGCATGATAATGAGTTAAATGACAGAACTTTTTACAAAATAAAATATAAACATAAATAAAACAAAAACAAAAACTTAAAACTACCAGTCTCAAATACCTGTGTGTGAAGAGGTAACGTACACGTCTGCCTTTAAATTTTATTGCATACAAATCTTTAACAAAAATATCAGCAACATGGTCCTGAAACAAATTTAAACATTAAAATATTAGTGATTCTTCAGCAATAAAAAAGATGTACTTGTAATATTTTATTTGGGCTGTCAGAGATGTAAGAACATTTAATTAGTAGTCAGAATCAAAATTACTTTGGGCAGGGAACAACTGGGTAGACATTTTTTCACGGGTTACCGAATCCCAGTTTTTTAGGACTACTATTTGCAAAACCAGGTACTAATCAGAGTATTATTTGTACACTATTCATGATAAAATTTACCATATATTACCATGTAGTGTATAACATCTTCCATGTATAATTCTATGCCTACGTTTAATGCAATATATTAATTTAATAATAGCATAATACAAATTTCAAAATCCTTTAAATTATTATAATATTTAAAATGAACTGTGGTTATATGTTACAACCATGCCAATATCCCTTCAAAGGGATACTACTAACATTACTGGTTTAAATGGAGATACTTTTACTATGCACGCTCGATCATCGAATGATTTCATAGGCATCAGTAGGCTATAAAAAAATATTGTTTACCAGTAATGAAAAATTTCTTAAACAGGTGTATAATGTGAACCCCAACTTTTAAAACTTTGTATCCACATAGTGCATAGAGTGAAAAAAACTACTATCAACATGTCAGTACGGTGAAAAATAATGTTAGATAATGTCAATAACTTTGTAAGGTCAGATGATGTTGACTTTACTTCGTTAATTTAAATACAGCAATCTGTATTACTAATACAACAGCTGGCATAAGTAACTGATTAATCATCTATAATTTAATAATAATATCTAAACTGCTATCAACTTCATCATCAGAATCGATTTTTTTTTAAATTACTATTGATTGGTGAAAGGAAACTCTCAAAATTGGATGAAACTCTGGCTTTAAACAAGCTTTTTCATTTAAAAGTTGTGATTTATCGTTTGGGAAGGATGTAAATATGTTAGAATGCGTGCGCAGCGAATGTTATATTGTGTTGATATAAAGTTAGTGTTAAGTAGCTGATGTTTTATTGTGTTGATATAAAGTTAGTGTTAACTAGCTAATGTTATATTGTGTTGATATGAAGTTAGTGTTAAGCAGCTAATGTTATATTGTGTTGATATAAAGTTAGTGTTAAGTAGCTGATGTTTCATTGTGTTGATATAAAGTTAGTGTTAAATAGCTGATGTTATATTGTGTTGATATAAAGTTCGTGTTAAGTAGCTGATGTTTAATTTCTTTCTGGGTTTTGGTGGGAAATGAACTCCAATCCAACCATTTTATTATGCAAATTTGTTAGATATCTTTAAAACTTTAATTTTCAAATAAATATTCATATCCCCATCAGTAGTAATAATAGTATCTGCCAAAAAGAATACTTCAGGTTGTTCCCTAACTCTAGGCATACACATTTTTTTTTTACATTTCTTATTTGATCACTTGATATCCATTTTTAATTTGTTTAAATACCAAAGCATTAGTTTAATAAACAAAACAACAAGTTTACCTTGCTGGCAACCTCAAAAGTCACTTGGGCAGAGCCACCACCTAAATCAAATGTGCTGACTGAATTGTCAAAAAATTCATTCCAAATAAAATCTTGAAAGAGTGAAGGAGAAATAAAAGTAAATGTATTTTTAAATACAATGGAATGATCCAAAGTGAAGATAAGGGATCCCATACTTTTACAAAGCAGTACTCCCTGTTCCAACACTCAAACTCTAAAAGAACTATTTATAAAACAAATAAAAGCCGACAGCAACATACTAAGCAATAAAGATATCTAAATAAAAAATTAATTCTGTCCCCAAAACCTAACCTGCGTAGCCCGAGTTCTAGCTGTTGTGTAGACGCCATCTTTCCCCATGAATGAACTTTAGCTGACCCCAAGTTCGGTATCGTGTTTAAGGTGTGACTAATTAAAAATAGTCTCCCATGACCTTGTTTGCAAAAAATAAAGTCTATAGTCTGTATTATTAGAATTCTGTAGAAATATCGAGACTAACCAAGAAAGGAATACAATGTGTAAGCGCGTACTAGAAATGTCTCTGAATCAGGCTGTATATACGCCTCTAGAGGGATTGATGGGAGAGAGATATTTTGTTATCAAGATAACGATAGAGATTTGCTACACGAAACAAAGATTTGTTTATTTACCGTGTGTGTGTATGTTACTTTTTCAATATTGTACCTTTTTCAACATTGTACCGGTACAAGACATCAATATACTGTAAGTCAATAGCTTTAGTTTTTATTTCTTTTTGATTTTGTAATTTATTATTAACTTAATAAAATTTTTAATTGTAACTAGCCCTAGTTTGGGTATTGTTTTTCTTTGTTATTGTATTTAATTTATGGCATCGTCTTTTGTTGTGTACTGTTTGTCAACAAGCCATATAGACAAATAAAAGATTAAATTCTCTAATCTTACAACGGTACATAACACTAGCAAATAAAGAAATTGTTTTTTTCACACTTGGCAAGCAGCTATTAAGAAACTGCTAGACAGGACTGAAAGATGGATCAGAGATATAATAAAATTTCAATATTTATGATCTTTCAGCAGAATACAAAAGTGGACTTGTTGGTGGTGCTTTGGGCCAGGGGTGGGCAAAATTATATAACAATACTTAATACCTATTTAGGTGTCTGAATGCATACTAATAAAAGGAAAATACAATTTTAGTAGTTTTAATTTTGTGTCCCTAAAGCATATGGCGTGGCTCGAAGAAAAAATGAAATAATGTCAAACGGCTCCTACTGACCTAAAGCTTGCCAACCCCTATTTGGGCAAACAGTTTAATTGGGAAGCTGGTGGTGCTGGGGAACGTAAACACATAAAATATAACCAACTTACCTAAAAGGAAGTTAACAGAAACCCAACCAAAAACACCTGTGAAACAAAGAAAAAATAAATTCACATTTGAAAATTATTCTAAGTTAAGCTTTTAATAAGCCTTTAGTTTTGGCTTCAATTCTTCAATTCTCATCTCTCTAAAATCATGTAGGATAATTGGAATATGGTTCAATAAATCATCTCCTCCAGAAGATCTTCAGACCGGCAATGCACTGGTGTAACAGATTTTTTAAGCCTCTTCAACAAAAACTTAAATGGATACTGCCAGTGGCTATGCGCATAAGTGTAAAATAAAATATGTCCTTAAAATTTTAAATAATGAAATTCCCCACTGCTTTTTACCTTCAGCCTCTTCACTCATAATTGAAACACTTTCAGGATCTGGCAGGTAAAATGGAGACCTCTTTAATAGAATTCTTATCTACAGTGATAAAAAAAAAAAATGTTGAATGAATGTTTTCAGATTTAAAGTTATGAAATAAAATCATAATCATCATGACTTTGTCTGAAACTAACCCACAAAGACAAAGTTTGGAATAGCTTAACGGTTTCAGAATATTCACTTTGAAACTTTTAACACATTTATTTTTTCCCCAACATTAAGAAAGGAGATTAAAAAAAATTAAATTATAAGTTTTGTTTTCTTGAATTGTAATCTAAAATATTCAATTTAAGATTACAGCAATCATGTGTTCATGGCTGTGCTAGTTTAACATAAATTTGGTGATCACATTAAAGCTTTTAAAAAAACTGTTACTTTAATCAATGGAAAAAAAAAATTTACATCATGTAATATTGCATCTGCTTTTTCTTTCTGTAGTAATCTTAGTCCTGCAGTGGCTTTGAAAATAATCTGCGTGCTAGAATGATGCTCCTTCGGGACTGATTTTAAGGCTTTCTCCAACAAGGGTAAAAGACTCTCGGCAGCCTGCAGATGAAGAAGGAGTTATTAGTCATTTTTATTCATATGCATATAGCAACGGCTGACATAATATATAAACTATATGACTATAACTATAAAATATATAAATTTGACTATAACAATAAACTATATGATTATAACAATCAACTATAGTTTTAAAAAAACAAAATAACACATCAAGATATTTATTTTAAAGCTTTTTTTTAACACATTATGAATTCTTGATTTAAAAATGTCACCCTAAAATTAGAATTTGATTACTCTACCTGAAATTTAAGAACCCAAATTTGTGTAAATGAATTAGTGCATTTATTTGAAGAATTTAAAGAACTTACCGCAGGAGGGTTTTGGGCATAGGCAGAAATACCAGGTTCCACAGACTGGAATACCTCATTATCTAATTTTATGCTGCCCTCATTTCGGGGAGCTGAAAAATTAAATTCAAAAAGTTAGCTGCTTTAAATTATTTTTTTTAAATTAAATTTTTTTTAAAGTGAACATTGTAAACTATTGGTTTTCTAAAAAAAAAACTGCAGATCTGAACAGAAAAACTATAACATTTTAAATTATGGCATGGATATAAAATTCCATACGTTATATCAGAGGGATATGTGGTATATTATATAATTTTACCTTTATTCTTTGGTTTAACAAAATGCAGTACAAAAATTCTTGAGCCTGTGCTGCCTGCATCAAATACAATTGAGTAGATATCTGTATTGACAGAGGCTGAATGGAATAGTCCAGGGATTTGATTCAGTATAGAAATTCCCAAAACAACAATGAGAACTGCCATCATTATACTCTTCATAGGGAATAATGATTCATTTGCCATCTCCTTCTCACGGTATGTAGATAAGCTTTCCTGATGTGTAGATAAGCGTCTTTTCTTTCTCATATTAAAGTGTAAGCTGATCAAATTAACCAGTTATTTTATCCTATGAATCAAAAAGAAGATAAAAACAATAATTATTATAATTTTTAAAAATACCATTGCTATTTTAAACATACATTTTGATTGAGTTATATATATTTATTTTCTTCATTTGAAGATAATAAAACAAAGAAAATTTTCTATCTGCAGCCATATGTAAATTGTTTAGAACCATAAAAATTATTAGCCTTACGCCTTACCCTACTGCTTTATTCTTTTAAACTTTATTATTATCTCTTATAATTTTAGGGAAAAGTAATCAACAATACAAAAAGACGTTTTCTGTTTGTGAAGAAATCTATATATTTTTTTATTATATTTACTATGATATAATATTAATGTATCTAGTAAAATCTAGCTAGGTGTAGTCAGAGCAGTGTTTCCCAGAGATGATGTAAAGTGGTCGTGAACATTGGCCTTATGTTGCTGGTCCACACATTAAAACAAGAAACTGGATAAAAAATACATAAAGTTAAGATAACAATTACAATAATGGCTGGCATCATTAAGTGGACATAGTAGTAGATAGTAATATTAGTCCAGACCAGTCAAATTGGCTAATCACAACTTAAAAATTATTTATTAAATGACATATTTAAGGTCAGATAAAAATAATTAATACATCTGACACCGATTCCTGGTGCATTGCAGAGGGAAACTTCTCCACCCAATCTGTCAAATTAAAAAGTTTGGTAATCACTACTCACTACTGAGTCTACTGTCTCTGGAAAAAAATAAAATAATACTTGGGTCACTCTAAGTAGTCAAAGTCTAACTCCAAGTTAAGTCTCTAAAGGTCTACTAAGACTAAGTCTAACTAAAATATACTAAATTTACTAAGTAAGAAATTAAAGAAATTCTAAGAAAGACTAAGTTAAGTCAAGTCACTAAATAATAATAAAGTTATGAAGAGGTGAAGAATAATATCTGAAGTCTGAACATAATCTAAACATAGATCCTACTTTTTGTGTGAAGACAGCATATACTGTATAACTGTAATTAAACCCATTATCACATTATCTCTTTATAATCTTCATATAATAAACTGCACTAAAAAGTGGGATGTCTTCTTGTTATCTACAAGTTATAAGTCGACATTGTTTTTTTAAATAGCATACGTATACTGTTTTTTTTAAACATTAATTTGTGTTGTCTCCCCTACCCGGCGCTTCTATTACAATGTAATGTATATTCATATGTTGGTAACAGCTATTTAACCTACAAAAAAGTTTTAAAAGATCCCTTTTCATTATTAATTATTAGTATTGTTAATAAGATTTTAAAAAAATAAATGAAACGAAATGGGTATTCTAAATTATTTTTTAAAAATTGTTTAATTCAAATCTCTAAATAAATCATAATGAACTCATGGTTATGGTTTAAAATATGTGTTGGGGTGGGAGTCAGTTGCTTTCACATTATCTAAGAAAAAAATATTCATTTTATTGTCTATATATATATATATATATATATA